TAGGGAAAGGAACGGTGGCTTCTAACTGGGGATGGAGAGAGTGGCCCTTGAGGAGGACTTTGCAGGAAAGGCAGATGGGAATTCATTATTGTGTACCCTCCTGGAACTATGTTAGGATCCCTGGGTATAAGCCTAGCCCCTGCCTAGCTCTCACTCCATGAGGCCAACACAAGGTGATAAATGACAAAGTTGGAGAGGCAGTGGGAGCTTACCTGGGTAAGTTTTTCCATGATCTTCCCCATGGCCTTGGTAATTTCTTGGGCTTTTTCTTTGTTAGTCCTTCCTACTTTGCAAGACAACTGATTGGACACTTGTTTAGATTTTTGTGGAAGGGATTTCTCTCATCCTTGCTTCATTTCCTTTCAGTTACATCTAAAGACAAGTCTCCTGGCCCCTTTCCCACCTTATTCGTCTGTTTGCCATTTCCTGGATGATGAGGTGGGGTTATAGCCTCTCTCTGACTCACCAGACACACGTGCCAGCTCATTCAACCCAGTACAAATGCGAATACCTAGCCACAGGCTCCACCAGCCTTGCCTGTGCTCTGGATAACCCTTTCCACAGTCCTTTTCTCATTTTTCAATCCCTCTGTGTGAATGGGTGAAGCACGTCTGTGTTTTCAGAAATGGAGGGGCCAGGGCATGGAAAGCCAGCATCTGAGTCCTCACTGCCCAGGCCAGTATGAGACACAATTTCTTCTCAAAGGTTTTTTTATCATGAGTGAGCACTTCTGCAGCTTTATCTGTCCTCAGTTCTCTCTAGAAAGCCCCCACATGTGGTCCTCTAGGTTACTTTGGAACCATCCCTGGTCATATGGGTCCCGTGATCTTTTGTGTTGTCATGTCTCTGGTGGTCTCAGCTCCTCCCTTTTGAGAAGGTTCATTTCAAGTCCCTCTCCAGTGGAACAACCACAAAAATCTCTTCCAGTGGCTGGTGTTGAATTTTAGGGTCTCTTTGCTCTGAACTCATTTGAGAGCTCAGAGGTGTAATGAATAGCATGGCAAAGATCTTTCCCAACACCATCCTTCTTCCTTTTGCTTTCATGCAGGGCCACCACGCCAAGTGTTGGTGGCGGATTCATTGTGAACAGGGTCTCACCAGGGGAAGCAGGCACGTGAGATCTCCATTCTCGAGAAATGTCCACTTCGATGCCCTCTAGAGGCGCAAGGGAAGGAAAGGGGAGAGCAGGAGTAGAACTTGATTGATGGCCTGCATCAATCACTCACATCAAACCCACATCTCATCCCCAGCCAAGGTGTACATCCCCTAACCAGAGCCACCCCCGAGTGTCATCTCACAGGGGCTTTGGGGCAGAGGGTAGTAACTCAATCTCAGGTATTACCTTGAGAAAGCTATGTAATCTCTTGGAGCCTCAGTTTCTTCACACGTAAAATGAACCAAAAGATTCCTCACAGGCCAACTGGAGGAGTGGTGGTAAAGCCGCTAGATCCCCTATGGCTAAGAGGTTCAAGTCCCAGACCTGGTGGCTTGAAAACATATGCCTGGTGCATGTGCATGCATGCCTGAAATCCAGAGACGATAATGGAGGAGAAGGGATTGTGGTGTGGCCATCTCCCTCGGGAAGGGGGGTGTTTTCTCACATTTCCTCTCGCTTTGTCTCTCTATCTCTCTCCAGAGAGTGCATGTGCCATATAGCAAAGAAAAAAAAGTTTTCTCACAGAAGGGTGCTTTGACGCAGATAAAATACAGGCTGCTTGGTATAAAAATTGCATGGACCATATTTATCCACACAAATTATGTTACTTATTGGAAATTCAAATCTAATGGGTTATCTTTTACTTCAGTTCATTTCCATTTTTTAGCTAAATCTGGCAACGTATCTGAAGTTTAAGTGATACATGGATCCCAAGGTTCAGCACAAGGCCTAGCGCATAGGAGGTGAGCTGCAGCCACCATGGTTTCTGAAAGTCTCTGGGAAAGTTATGCAGAAGGCCTAAGGGAGAGGTGTAGCAGTTTGCAATTTAGTTGGAAACTTTGCTGAGTTCCTGCCATGTGCGGGCAGGGGCATTCTGTGGGGATGGGCAAAGCAGGAGTAATACAAGTTTTGTGCTCTCATGTGATTTATATGAACAGGTGTCATGGCAAACCCTAAGCTACTGTGGTAGGGGTTAAAGCGGTACATACCGAGTGCTGAGGACAGGAAAGGTGTTCCTTAGCAGAGTGTTGAGGTGTGGATGTCCAAGAAGGTGGGCAGGCCTTTCAAGCAAGCAGTTCTGTCGTAAGGTTCAAAGGTGTGGGTGTGAGGACAGTTTGAGGATCATCAGGCTGTAAAATATCTGTGGAAAGAAGATCAGGTGGAGACTGTGGCAGGTGGTTTCCCAAGACTCTCTGGGATGGGCTCTGCCTGGGCTCAGCAGCTCATGTCAGTTGATCTGGGATCTAGAACATGCCCTGCTACTAAACTCTCTGCCTCAGTTTCCTTACTATAAAATGATTGAGTTTGGCTAGAATGCCAGGGCTGGCAGGTCAGAGATAGGAGGTGAGCTGATCCCTCTTTGGCTAGGCTGAGAAAGAGGCCAATTCCTTGGGAAAGAATGCCATAATCAACTGTGAGGTCTGCTGTGAGCAACACACGACAAATGAGAATGCCAGGGCTGGCAGGTCAGAGATAGGAGGTGAGCTGATCCCTCTTTGGCTAGGCTGAGAAAGAGGTCAATTCCTTGGGAAAGAATGCCATAATCGACAAATGGTGCTGCAAAACTTGCCCAGGTCGGCAGGCAATAGCAGTCCTGCCCTCCTGGGCTCCCTGACCCACCTTCAATATCTCAATTACAGCTGCCATTGTGTTTAGCAATTACACAGTGGGAATTCTGCTGTATTTATTTTTTAATTGCCAATACCAGAGTCTGGCTGACATAGCAATAAATGAATGATGGATGGATTACCCTGAAAACAATTACCAAACTATGAATGCAATTGCTAAATATAGGTGTGCAGCTTTCCGAGGTACTTAAGGTTATTGTTTGGACGTGTAAATTCTGCTTTATTACTTTGCCACTTAGAGCATGCCAGGTGGTAAAATTAACATCTGTTAGAGACCACCGAATGCCATCACCATATGTAGTTTTCAGTGTGTATAGGAGGACGGTGGGGATGGTCCCATCATGGAGAGTACTGGCTGCCAGTCTGTCCATCTTGATCCTCTTTTGCACTCTCTTATTATAGCATAGTGATTAAAGCACCACCCAGGGTTTGTATCCCAAAGCAAATCATTTTGACATCCTTGGACCTCAGTCTCTTGCTCATGAGAGGCCCCTTCTGGAAGTAAAAGCTCTACGATGCTCAGCTAGTTTTTGGGCTCAGTAGAATTCTGATTTGAACTGCTTTAATGGGAGATCATCTACTCATAGAAATTTGAGCAAAATTTCCAAGATCCTCTTATCCTATCCTTTCTCCCATTTCCTGTACACGTCTCTTCCCAAGAAACTTCTGCCAACTCAGGCCTGGAGATGGCCTTTCCTCCTACTCCTCCACCCTGAGCTGCTTTAGCTCCCTCTGCCTGGGGTGGGTGGGCTTCTGCACATGGCTTGGTTAAGGAAAAACCTCCCAGGCTAACAGCTCCAACAACTGCCATTGCTTTCCAGGGTCTGAACACATGATGGATGAGATGTGCCATGGTCAAGGCGAAGAATGCCCAGATCCACAGATGTGCTTGAGCAGACAGCCTGGGACTGTATAGGCCTTTCCACGGCTGGTGTTTGGCTCCACTGCTCCCAGTTCAGCTGACCTGGTGCTGGTCAGAACTGTTTCGGAACCATGAAGGGACATTCTTTCTGTCCTCTTTTTCAAAGAGATTTTTGAGACCTTTGAAGACCATGGAGCAGAATTCAGTTCTTGGGGAACCAACGAGTTTCTAGGCATCTATTTCTCACCCTCTGCCATTTCCCATCCTCTTCCCACCCTGTCTCTGGTTTCTGCAGTTGCTTTCCATTCCTTTATTCTTTCCCACATTGCATTGATTCACAAAATATCTTAATTAATCTAAATACTTTCAGTAGTAAGTTCATCTGATATATATATATATATATATATCTGTGAACAAAAGTTGACTTTAGGCATGAAACTGGGTAGAGTGAATATACTATAAAATAGCACATAGCTGAGGTTATATAGCTTACTGTGGTTACCAAATAGGTATTTCTTTAAATACACTTTTTAATTTCAAGAAAGGCCGTTTCAGCTTAATACTTAAAGCTAGGAAACAGGTTAGGATTCTGTTTTAGTAGTAGGTACATAGACCTGTCCACAACTTAAGAGATAAAAGTCCTTAACACTGGAAAACAAAGCATAGAAGGTCAGTAATGTTTTAGTCCAAAGTCATAAAATTCTATTTCACCAATTCAAGCTCAAGTACTTTATCTTCTGCTGTGGTCCTAGACCGCATATTTCTATGGCATCAAACATCTTTTTTTTTTTTTCTTTTATTGGAGAGGTTTTCACTATAGGGCATGTGCACTCGCCAGACAGACAGAGAGACAAAAAGCGACAAATCATCCCCCAGGGGGGATGGTCATGCCACAATCCCTTCTCCTCCATTCTCCTCTTGGGATCTTGGGCACACACGCACACATGCCCGGCTTGAGTTTTAAGCCACC